GATCACCCAGTGCGATCCGGAATGTTTTCCTGTAATGTAAATTCCCGGATTTGGTGGGCGTGTTGTTGTCACCCGACGTGTCAAATCCGGGGAGATCAAACACTATAACCCTTTTACTTGATACAGACCCTCGTGTTGTCTTTGACTTTATGGGATTATATTATCGATTCTGTTTTTGTGGGTCTGTATTCCGCGGACCACTAGGAGCTCCATATTGGCATGTTGATGGCCGCCAGTTTAGGACAGAGCTATAGTAGATATCCCAAAAATGACGATAAGCTTTGTAGAGTTGATTGCTTACGGTTACATAGTCAAGTCGTTTAAAGTTTGATAAGTTGGTTTAGACAAAAGCCTCGTTTGACGACCGACATCACTTATTGTTGAAAACCGACCCAAAACTTCGTCCTAGAGAGCCTCCTAAAATTAAATCTTAAGTTTATGGTTCTATATCACTTAAAGAATTATCTCTCGCCTTCATATCGCTGAGGAGTAGATATTGAAACTCACTACGCCTATTTGAAGACTAGAATCGATAACCGAGTGATTTATCATGACGGCAATGCAACAAAGAGGTTACTGTGTTCGAGTGTCTCTATATGGCTCTCCGAGCGTACTAGTTGTTTCTTGACTGCCACTTTACCAGGGACCTATATTTTAGTTTCCTAAAAGCCTATCTATTTATGGCTAGTTAGTGTATATGAGGATTCTCAACTCCCAGACTGAATAATAGATGCGACGAGATATAGCGCATGAACTCATGACTTGGTTACTATTCTCCTAGATGGTACCGAAGATAGATCACGGAAAGTAGACCAGATGAGGTCAGGGTGCCGAGCATCCAGCACTGAGTCCTGGTTTGTGGCATTCAAAACAAGAGCTAGATTTGTTATATGAACAAGGTAGTTCCTTCCACCAATACTGGCTGTTTGGCTTTGATGTTGGGGATGCTGCTTGCGGCAAACGAGTTTATTACTCATACCCACCACAATTGGTAGTTATATGGCAGTCAGCTTGAGCTGTTCCGTGAGATCGATAGGGCTTGTCTATTCAGACACAGCGCTCTATTCCACCAATTGTACGAGGCTCACGCGTTCTTCCATGACCATTTCTCCGGGTTGGGGCCTGTAAACCACTGGATATATTGCTTGCGCGCAAAAGATCTGAAAAGGTGATAGACGGCGAGAAAACATTTTTGTGTAATATTCAGATGAATCTGTAGGTACTCCCATAAATAGTCCAGAGTTCAAGCTTGTTAGCTGTGGATGTCCTTGCTGAGCCCAACTGGTTTAGAGCACTGGGTTTTGGGAGTACCCATGGGGATTGTATTCTTATCAAACATAAGGCTTAGTGTAAATTAACCAAGATCATCATTTCCGAGAATTTCTATTAGGAAAGTTTCTAAAATGTTAGGCATTCCAAAATTATTCCACAATCCTACGGGCTATTCCTGACCCAGTACTGCCCAAATCTCATGGGCTAGGAACAATCCGAAGTTTCCTGGGTCAAGTTGGCCCACCTATTGTGAGATCCGGGCTGTCCCATCGAAAACCCTGCTTTCGTGTCCAATCAAACGTTAGTCGCATATAAATAGTGTTGTATTTGTCTTCCTTTCTTTTTATATCTTGTGACTGCATCTTTACACCCAGTAGAGTCTCTGATTTCTCGAGCACCTCAGGTACTATTAAGCATGAGACCAGAATCCAGGGATTCGGTCTAAAGATATCTTAAGAACTCGAGGTAGGTCTTAAGAACTCAGAATAGTAATAAATGATGTCAACTGTGCCGTGTCCAATTAGGCTGCGCTTCTTCTCAAAGGCTGAGGTATTTTCGACATAATTTATAACGCTAAGCCCGCGCATCTGAGATTTGGATTGAGTCCTGAGATTTTCTAGATTTGAATTCGGCGGGACCAGGCGAGAATAGGTAAAATCCGGCCGTAATTTTCCATGTGGCTAACAATTAAGTCGTAAACCCGAGTGGTAGAAGATACTCGTTCCAGCCCAGTTTGCCCACCCAGCTTCTCAAACCTCTGATTCGTCGAGCATACTGGGTAAGTAGAACAGGGTTATCGAAGCTTTATAGCGAATTCAGACTCCGTAGCCCATCAGATCTTGTTATTTTACCTCTGGCCGGTATAGATGCGTGTATCGACCCCACCACATGCCTACCGCTCCAGTTAACCCTCTCCCCATATTCTCACTCATGGCTCAGCTAAGCTTAGCTTGCCCTCCTAAGTTGTGGTTGCTTGGGTTAAGCCATACTATACCTCAACCTCATGTTGATGATATTTGAATGACTGCTGTATGTAAATGAGAGAAATATATTAGTAATCCAAGGGTTTGCAACCTCGATTTTGCGACCCTCATGAATATCTTTACTATGGTCAGAGGTCAGATCAAGGTGGTAATGCGGGGAGGGATTTTGCAAAGAAAAAAAAAAAAGAGAAAAAAAAGTGCAGATTTGGGCGGTGTTTTTTCTTCTGGACTGTTGGGAGCAGCTGATGCTCACGAAGGGAGGGGAGATAAAATACTGGTGGGCTGTGGAGGGAAATGAAACTAGAAAGAGAATAGAGGGGGTGCAGCGTCCATGAAGAATTGGGCGGAGTGTAAATGGAGATAGTGATGAGGTTTAACCTGGGGTTGATACCCAAGACGAGGGACGAGAGTGGAATCCAGAGAGGGTGAAGAAAGTGGGAATATAGCCATGACAGAAGGTATCCAAGAAACGGGGAGGAAATGTAGATAAAGAAATTGAGCAGAAGGGGAATCTAGGGATCTGGTATCAGAGATAAAGGCTGGTGAAGCGTAGAGGGAGAAGGGAGTAGAATAGTGGGTGCTGGTATTCTAGAAAAATATGATGGGAGCGGGGCATGATGGATAGCAAGGCACGGGAGATGGTGCCCAGATGAGAGATGCAGACGGGGCTGGGGGTATTTGTGCAAGGGACACATACATCCCACAAATGACATCCGCACCAGCGTCTGTCGCTTATATGAATATGTTGGTGGGGAAAACATTGATGGAAGAGGAGGAGGAGGAGGAGGAGGAGGAGGTTGATGGAAGAGGTTGATGGAGGAAAATGTTGATGGGAGGAGGAAGTTGATGGAAGAAAAGGTTGATGGAAGAAAAGGCTGATGGAAAAAAATGTAGGAGTCATGTAGGGTGGTGTAAGAGAGAAGTTGGATGCAATTAATGAATTAAACAAAAAAAAAAAAAAAAGAGAGAAGTTGGAGAAGGGCGCGCGAGTGATATCTCATGATATAGGCCAAACGCCCACTCCGCGCGTCCGCAGCGCCGTTCGCTCTCTTCTCTTCAGATGCCCAGAGTTTAACTTATTGTACTGCTGGGCTTTTCGCACTGAAACAATCAATTTAGCTACATGTAGTTCACATATCAATACCCTCACCCTCGAGCAACACTGGCAGCAGGTCAGTTCCATAGAACATAACAGTGTACCACCGGCCCCACACATCCTACATACATACATATATCCGACCAAACAAATCTCTGCATACAGATTATCCCATATAGAAATTGTATAAACCTCCCTTATGCACCAACAGTGACGTAATGCTCTGGGTAGTCACATATTGCCCACACACTCCATCCCCGGGCCGCACACGGGAAGTGCCAAGTACATCCCGCTACACAATTTTATATACAACAACAACACTCCAGACTAAACCTCTCGTCATGAGCTACTATCTTTATCTTCCATCCCATTTCCATCTCATCTTCAGGTCTATCTGCCCAGCACGTTGAATCAATGCTTGGCTATGTATATGTTTGTTACTACATGTATTTTACTACATGTACTAATACTGGCTATCCATTAGTCCCTGAATCTCGAGGCTCTTTAAATACCAGCTGGTCACCACTAGGGGCTCTATGAGGACTTGTCTCACAGGATGAGATTAAGCTCGTATCACGTTTGAGAGCTTGTCTCGCACCCATCACTAAATACTTCAGCATAAGCACCTACAGTAGACTCGCCCTATAAAGGGTATGAGTTCTCGGGCTATCTTTGACTTCATAGAGACAAAGTCTCCCTGCCTATAAGGGCACATATCCCACAAGAGCACGACCTCGGTCGAGCCACATCTGTACCTATATGGGGCGAGTCGTCTATACCGGTCAGGATCTATATATCGAACAACCTTAGCACCATACCCCAAGGAAGGGAATTGGTAGCCTATGCATACAGAAGCATATATAGAGAACATCCCCAAACCACGCCAACATACAATTCAAGAGTCAACAACAAAACCACGCCAAAAAACCACCGAGTGACACGCCATGACGCCCCCCGCCCTCACGCTCCCATCTCCCCACAACCCACCGCCCGCAAAACCAGGAACACCGCTAGCAGACATTTCATTTATTCCTATAACTCTAATCTATTGCGCGCTACCAGTAGGCATTTTGAGTATACAACACACGAGCACTCGAAAGGCAGAGAGAAAAAAAAGAAACAAAAAAAAAAAGAGATAAAAAAATAGGAGATATGAATAAGATGACCCAGCTAGCTCTTTGGAATATTACTTATAATATATACACCGCCACAGAAAGCACAGATGCAGATAAACGGCCCCAAGCAGGGAACGGACGAGATAGGAAGAATACAAGAGGAAAAGATGTAACACCGCGCTAAATATCCCAAAGACCAAGGAGGAGGAAAGATAGTAAAGAAAGAAAGAAAGAAAAAGAGAGGTAAGAGGGAAGTAAGAAATGGATATAAAGGGAAAAAAAAAAAAGGAAAAAACCTAAAGAAAACCCCCATTGAAAGCTGACGATAACAAAAAAAATGTAATGAGACACCAATAACAGATAAAGAACAATAAAAGAACCAGCACCGCACCATGAACCACTACCACAAACACCCAAAATCAAACACCACAATCGCGGCCACCACCCTCCCCTCCTCCCTCCACCTCGTCCTCAGCGCCAAATGCCTCTCACTCCACTGCACGCCATGCAAAAACTCATTAAACACCTCCCCCCTCACCTCCACCACGCCCCCTCCACACACCTCCACGCCCGCCCTCCCCCACCCGCAACCCTCACCACCATCCGCCCACTCTGCACCATCACCCTCTCCCCGCCAGTCCCCACCCCCGCGCCGCGATACGAGCCCACATCAATCCTGAAGCGCCGCATCGCGCCCGCATCCCCGCTCGGCTTCACATTATAGAACGTAGCACTACACTGCTCCTCCGGCAGGAAGATCTCGAATCGCTGACAGCGGTCACGGAACGTCTCCTTCTTCTCCACGACCCCCACCGCCGCCCCCACCGCCGCCGCCGCCGCTACTCCCGCCGCCGGCGGAACAGTGGCCGGAACGGCCGGCACGGCCGCGTCGTCGATGGGGATGCGGAAGCGGCGCTGAAAGTCCTTTCCCTCGTCGATGGTGGAGCGGTATATGCTGTGTACCATTTCGAAGCCAGCCGGCGCGGTCGGGTTCGGCTGGACGCTCCACGCGGAGAAGGAGACGGTTGACGGGGCGACGGCGGTGTCTGTGTCGCTATCGTATGTGCAGGTGCAGGGCGCAGGGTGTCCTGGGCAGGGCGGCTGCGGGGGCCGTTTGTCGATGAAGACGAAGCAGCTCTCGACGATCCAGAAGACCTCGCCCTTGGGCGGGTAGTCCATGTAGAGGTCGCTCTCGACGAATGCCCTGTCGCCGAAGCGGTTTCCGAGGAAGGGGGAGTGCTTGAGGTCGTATTTTGCGAGGAGCCTTCCGGGGGGGCCGTCGTTGATGGAGAAGACGCGGACAAAGACGGGGCCCCAGAGACTGGGCAGGGCGTCGGTGTCTTCGTGGAGGATGATGAGGCGCTTGAAGGGGCGGTCGGTGACCATGACGAAGAACTGGTCGCCGTTTGAGATCTCGGAGGAGCGCTCGAGCTCGGTTTCGAGGAGGGTCTCGCCCGTGAGGATGTTGTGGGCGACAAAGTGCAGGGTGGCGCGGTTCTGGGCGATGGGCGTCTTGCGGATGTAGGTGAGGCGGTCTTGGGCAAAGTCGACTTCGCCGAGGAGGCGCTGCGGGAGCAGGATGGGCAGCTTCCAGAGGAGTCTTGCGCTGGGGATTGCAAAGACGAGTATTCTGTTCCCATCAGCCACCGCCATTCACTATCAATCTCTTTTTATTCTTCTTCTGCTTCTTCTTCATCTTCATCTTCTAGGAATCCACTCACAGTGCTCTCCGTCCAAAGCCGTAGCCGTCCATGGGCGAATCGTAGAAGTTCAACGTCACAACGAGCAACCCCTTCCCCATCTGCACATTCATCCTCGCCCTCACCAGATCCGACATCTTTACGGCGCCCCCCTCCAAGCACAGCGGATCCAGCGCGAGCAATATCCTCTTGTCGCCCTCGAGGCTCTGCACCCTCAGCACACGGTCCTCATGGCTAGTCCAAGCCGCATAGCCGTCGGCGGCATCCCACTCGATCGAGGCCTCGTCGCTGCAGTCCAGCAGCACCTCATGCACCCTCGTCGGCAGCCCCAGTCGGCGTGTGTGGAAGCGGTATGCGGCGCGGCGGTAGGGCAGCACAACGCTGTGCGGGTTGGGGAGGCTTTCGCGGAACTCGACGGCCTCGGCGGTGCGCGGGAAGTGCGAGATGAGCGCGATGCGGGCAATGTACTCGGAGGTGAGGAGGCGGTACCAGGTGCGGGAGACACGCTGTAGACGGATTATATCGATGGGATCCAGGAGCTCGATAATGGGGGCAATCTCGAAATCGCCGAGATGAGTAAAGGGGTCCATGGACGGCATGGAGGGAGAGGCGGAGAGGGAGGGGAGGGGAGGTGACGGATACTTGCTGTAGCAGTTGCAGTTGCAGTTGCTGCTGCTAGGAAGGAGGAGGAGGATATGAGATAAGTATTCCTTTCCCTATTCTCTCTCTCTTTTTTTTCTCTCTCCTTTCCTTTCTTTTTCCGCACTCTCTGTGTCGCGTGAGAGCTATGTATCTAAAGGAGGAGGAGGAGGAGGTGTGTGTGCTGTATGCTGCCGCAGGAGGAGGAGGAGGAAGAAGTGTGGAATGGATGGACGCAGAGAGGTGCCACTCCGAAGCAGGGCACGGAAGGATGCGATTGGTGCGCTCAAGGCGGGAAAGAGACAGGCGGGTGGTGCCGTTGCTAGGAACAAAAAAACCAACAAAACGGACCCCACGCGAGATGTGGGGGAGAAGAGATGGGCACTAACAGAACAGAGATTAACGAGATGGATTAGATAGATAGAGGGGGGGGGGGGGGATAGATAACGGTGTAGTACATGCACGAGGATATTCTGATGATAGATATATATTGGACACAGCTGGGAGGATGCTGAGAGAGAGAGAGAGTGGGCGAGCAAGTGAGCAGCCAGATCCTCTGTGACGTCTCTCTCCTCGGCTTAATATGCGTCTTGAGAAATCGAATGTTGACCGTATCGATATGTATGTATGTACTTTATGTATGTAGGCACTCCAATTCCAGCCATCAGCATCGACAATCAGGAGCTCCTTCGTCCTTCACTACTAGCAATCCGGTTTACAAATCGATATCTCATAAAGACATAACACTGTGAAATATCCAGCACTGGCTACAATGTCTAAGGTAAGCAATTGATGATCTACTGCACTTTATCCACTGCCCGTACCTACATGATGTATGATGTGCCTGTGATCATAACTCGGCCGCGCATAAACAAATTCAAAAACAAGGGCTAGGTTACATACTTATCTAATTGCTCTGCGCATCTCCCGGCGCAGCAACGACACACGCTGCTGCCAACCAACAGCAACAACCCCTGTCACGCACCATCACAAATCACACACCCTCAGTCTCTCACACACCACACTCCACACACACCACACTCCACACTCACTCACCCGCACTTACGCCTTAATCACTCACACGTCAAACCCGGTTCAGGTCCGGTCCTTTTCTTTTTGATACTTCGAGATACCAACACCCAAGTATCAAATACACACACACGCACGCTCACGTCTCAGATACTATCTACTATTGACAATGTCGACCTCGCCCGAATCTCAATCCCTCTCCGACTCCCACTCCGACTCCCACTCCGACTCCCACTCCGAATCCCCCGACCCCCAAACACCAGCAGCCCCAGCAGCAGCCCCAGCATCAGCACCGGCACCAGAGCCAGCACAGGCACAGGCACAGGCACAGGCACAGGCACAGGCACAGGCACAGGCACAGGCACCAGTGCCAGAACAAGCACCAGCACCAGTACCGGTGCCAGTGCCAGTACCAGTACCCTCACAGGCACCCTTCCACCCACACCCCACCTACCACCGCCCAATCCACCCCGCCCCCGCCCCCGCCCCCCTCCCCAAGCTCCTCCCCGCGCCCCTCCCCCACCAAACCCACCCACCGCACCACACCGCACCACCCCACCCCGCCAAGCCCGCCACTAAGCCCGTCGCCATCGCCGCCAACACCGCAACAATCACCATCCCCACCGAGACCAACCCCGCCAACATCCCGCGGCGCGGCGCCGAGGTCGGCATCGGCCGCCGTGGCGCCGCCGTAGCCCTCGGACAAACGGGGCTCCCGCTCCGAAACATCTCCGCAATCCTGCACCTGCCGCTGTCGACCGTGTCGGGCATCATCTCGCACGCAAAGGAGATGGCAGAGGTCAATGGCGGGTCGCCACTCGACGATATAAACCTCCGGTCGAAGCGTCGCATGGGCAGGCCGAAGAAGTGGACCGTGGAGGAGAAGAGGGTGGTAAGTTGCCCCACAACCCCCCCCCCCCCCACAAACGCCCCCAACCCCAACCCCCCGTGGAGGGATGTACTGTGCTGGGTAGGGACTGATGGATGGATGGGGAGCAGGTCATACAGGTGTGTACGCGCGATGCGAAGCAGCGGGCAAAGTCATATGTCATGCTGGCGAAGGAGTGTCCGTTCAAGATTGACGAGCGCACGGTGAGGCGGATTATGACGGAGGCTGGGTATGACCGCAGGAGGAGCCATGTGCCCGATGCGGCGGAGAGGGTCTCGGATGATGTGGATGAGTAGTGTAGTGGACGACCCATGAGGAGGAGGAGAAGGAGTAGGGGAGGGTTATGGCGTTGGTGAGTTTGGGTTGGTGTTCCCTTTTTGGCTTTTTTTTGTTGCTTGTGTTTGTGTTTGTGTTTGTGTTTGTGTTTGGGGTTTGGGATATCGTGCTACTGGGTTTGTCATTTTGCAGCTGTGGGACAGGGCTTGTTGTGTGGGCCGATGGAGTGTGGGCAATGGGTGGGATGAGAGAGAGAGAGAGCCAGAAAGTGAGGATGTGTGTGTGTGTGTGTGTGTGTGTGAGAGCTGGAGTACCGATACACGATGGTATCGACCATGAGGGCTTGGAATCCCTCCCTGACTCCAAACCCTCATGGTGAGCGGATGAGATGATTTGTTTGCCTCCAATGCGGATTCATATTCCATATATGCCAATTGCCCCCCCGCCCTCCCCTTTTAATTTTTTTTCCATGTCGCTGCTCGTTATAAGTAATAGCCCCGAGAGTACGTTTGTTCCCGCGTATATATATGTGGTAATAGAAAGAATTTACCCAATACGTACGAGTGGTGGTGATATGTAGTTGCACTAGTGAGAAACAGATCACCCTGTATGGCCAGTCCTCAAAACTGGAACTCAGTTCTTTAAAAGCCCGTCCCCATCCTCAATCCATGTCCGGGAACACGTATCTAGCACATGTAGCTCCTTCCCTCCCTCATCGACTATCACTCGCACCACACCATGGCAACGAGTGATCGATGCCACATGTTCACGGTACGTGGGCGGCTAGCTGGGGGTATCATAGCTGCGTGTATGCAGTGGGAAGCTGGCCGGCGGCGGCTCGGAGAGGTAGGATTGTGGGCGGGTGACTCAAGAGCGATTCAGAGAGCCCCCCCCCCCATTTGCCCAGCTGTGCTTTGGTTTACTAGTGGCTCCTGGGGCTGTTGGCATTGTTCTTCCCTTGGTTGTACGTAGGTAGGTGTAGAACTGGCTTTACATCTACCCTCGCCTTCTCTGACCATTCCCGCCTCTCCTTCCCCCGGACCGGCTCTGCTTGAGGCTGTGGACTGCTTAGGTGGAAAGAACGCCCGTACCCATTAAGGGAGGAGTCCGTCAACTACGTACTATAACAGCCATGACACTCTATGGCCATCTACTATCTCCATAACATATATTCTGCCCACACACCAGACAGTCGAGCCTATGGTCCAGTCTCAGTCGTGGGCCGGTCCACTACGGTCGTCCTGTAGTACTAGGTTTAATTTATAGGCAGCGGAGTAGTGCTTGGTGATTTTGTAAGTGATCTTGATCTCCTGCAATCTAGAATGGTTCTAATTTAAAAAAAAAAAAAAAAACTTGGTTTTCTTAGTACAGGCATGGTGTATGTGCCGCTAGATTTTGACGTTGGCTGGGCTAGGATTACGCTCTATCTCAGAAAAGCTTGTCTACTTACTAATGCTAGACAGCCGTATGCTAGTCTATACAGCTAGAAGCTCAAGAGCCGGCCCGGGGGGAAGATTCCTCAACGGACATGTCCACTGAGGAACTGGCTATTGCGGATCAATCCTTTTATGACAGAACCCATTTTCTCTTAGCTAGCGAAGCCTCGAAGGGTGGCTCGAGGCTCCTCAACCCTATGGATTACTATATGGACATATGCCAATATGATGCGACTTACTATTTGATAATACTTGACGCAGTAGGTCTTGATAGCGGTGTCGGTGACTAGCCGTTATTGAATGAAAAATGGACTGGAACCTATCTATACTGGAGCACTTATACCAATTTTGATAAACAAGCTCCAAACGACCTTAGATATAAAGGCGTTGTTCAATACCTACTTACTCAATGCTGTCCCAGGCCGTGGGACTGGTATAGTTGAGAAACAACGACCGTTTTAGCAATGGTACAGTCAGGTTCCAGACCTTATATATTTACTATATTTGGCTCAAGATACACAGCCAATGAACAAGCTAGTAATTAGTGCACTCGAGAATTGAAACTGATTGTATTTTCTGGCAAGGAAGTCATCAGGCGAATAAATACAGTTCACCTCACCCACTACTCTCAAATGAGTGGTTCTAGAGTTGACACGGGCAAATAAGATGAGACCCACTGTTTTTTGTCTACTCCCGCTGATACTGAAAAATACATTATTGGTGTAGTGCAACGACTGTTATTTATTGTCTAGCTTTCTAGATATAGCTCGTTTCATTTCTCCTGGTGAAATGAACAAGAAAAATATTCTGCCATTATGGATTTCACTCCTAAAATTTTGTGGGGAGCAGCCTCTCCGAATGAGATCCGTAGCGCATGAGAAGGAATCGAACAACTGGAAGGTCAATGATACACTTATAAATGTCCCGAACAGGTTTAGCCCTTTGGGCCCCAAACCAAGCCGGGTAGCTCGCAGCCAACAGAACCTCGAGGAAGTGTTAGGAACTTTACGGCCGCGGTATTAGGGGAATGGGGTGAGTGACAGCTCCAATGTTCGTCATAACCTAGTTGCCCAATTGATTCTATGAGTACCAATAACGAGGAACCTGGGAATCATCCAGTGATGGGATCAATGGCCAGTTAAGCTGTTAAGAACCTATAATTAATTAAGTACGTACGTACGTGCGGCACTAATAATTCATCGGACATAGCCATGATCGACCTTACAATTACCGACTATTGAATCGATTCGGATAGCATCGGGAGAAAAAGTTTTGAGCAAACTCTTCATCATGCGTTTGGGAGTTAATCATACCTAATAACGTTTTCATACTTGTTACCTCAATGCTTCTTAGCGTTAACAATTCAGGAGTCAGGCAGTCAACTTCTCAACAAGTTGTTCTTGGCCTCGCAATCCATCCGTTCATGCAAGGGGGAGTAAGGTTATCCCCAGGTCCGCCCCCTCCCCAAAAAACGAGGCCAACCCCAGGAACCAGCACCATACATACATAACAAAACGACGCGTAAACCCAAACGCTGAGTGACCTTCTTCAAAAGTGTTTTTTTTTACACAACAGCCTGAATTCAAAGAGTTAACCAGAAGCCACTGGTCTGTTACACGTGCCTTGATCCGTCTGCATTGCATACACATCGTTGGTCTGCAACCCGCTACTTACGGCATCAACCCTAACCCTTGTCCTCCCGTGGACAGAACAAAACTCCCGACGTCACACTCTTGGTTGGGGGGATTGTGAGTTTCCTCTCTCCACGGCGGCGCCGGGCCCTTGCCTTAGCTTTGATGCCCAGTTAACAATATATTTATTAACCTGTTTTCTTTATGTATGTGCCGCTGGGTGTGTACGATCTCTTACCAACAGCTACATACCACCGCCGCAGCCTCCCTCCTTCCTCCCCTCCCTCCCTCCCTCCCTCCCTCCCTTCCTCGAGAGAAGAAAGGAGAAGAGAGAGAGAGAGACTAGACAAGCTGGCTGCCTGGGCTGGGCTTCCAACTTTTCCAACAACTCATCATTTCTACCCACACCAATTCCTGTTCCTTTTCCCGATGGAGAAGCTGTTCCTGAATGTACCTTCCTACTGTACATAACAGCCACTTGATATGTAGATACCCACAGACGAAGCAGAATGGAGCACTTGTAAAGAAGGAAAAAAAGCGAACAATGTGCCACAACACCCTAACCCTCGTAGTATTAGCATATCACAGTCTTCGGCCTCCCCCTAGGTGATGATTGATAATTGATCTCCCTCTTCCCCTTGCAGCCCAGTTTCTTCTTCTGCCAGAGAGCAGAACAGGCCACGGGGGGTGTCTCTATTTTCAGCCTCGCTGTCTACATACTTACCTCTCTGGCAACCCACCACAACCACCTCTGCGCGCTGATCGATTTTTATATAAACCATCCATTCCCCTTCCCTCCCTCCTCTTAAGTTCCCCCACTGCATCACCCCACAAGAAAAAAAAACGCGTCCAAGTATATCACTTATACACAATGTCTACCCGTAAGCGCAAGCAAGAAGCCGGCGAAGAGGCCTCCGAGGAGGAGGAGCTCCAGGCCCTCCCCTCTGACGACAGCGAGGAGGAAGAGGAGTACGTGTTTCCTCTCCTGCATTTCCCAATGATCCCCCAACTAACAGCGGGAAGATATGTCGAGTCAGAGCCCGAAGACTCTGAAGCAGAGGACTCTGGGGCGGAAGCCTCAAAGCCCAAGAGACGCAAGGTTGAGCAGGCGCCCAACGAGGACGATGAGGACGAGGAAGATGAGGATGGTGAGGGCGAAGATGAGGATGAGGAGGCCGAAGGTGAAGGCGACGGTGAGGGTGAGGAAGAGGAGGCTGAGCCCGAAGAAGAGGAGTCGGAGCGTGATCCTCACGACGACTCGCACGATGATGAGGGCGACGATGGTATGTAGCAATTGTTTCTCCTGTTTTTAATATTACCTAAACCGCCCCTCTGTTTGTTTGTTTGCTTCAATCGCTAATCCGCTGTCATGATTGATAGACGCTGAAGGCGAGGATGACGATAAGAAAGATACTACTGCAGAGGAAGAGGAGGACGCGAAGCCTGCAGCTGCAGAGAAGTAGAGTCACCACACAACCGGTGGTGGTCCCTCTTTGAAGGATTTGGGAAAAAAAAATCTATCTTGTATCTTTTGCATCTTTTTCTTTCTTCTCTTCTTGTAATTCATAAGTTACACTAATGTACGCGTCTTTGTCTGCCTGTCCATTGAAGTGAATAGAATAGACGTGAATCTTGCGCAATTTGCTGGTTTGAATGGACGTACATACAGTGCTTTGAGATGATACCTATGACGTGCATACTGAAAAGTACCTTGGTAGTAATCCATCTTCTAGTGTTGTGACAGGCCCCACATACAGGTATTTCGTGCAGCGAATGAGGCGCATCGCGTATTTGAAATGGCTATCAGTTTTAGAGTAGAGATTACTTGATTTACCCACTTCAAGGTTCCAACGAAATGGAGAGCTCTGGTTGCCCGTGGCATTGAGTGGTCGTGGTATGCGACCGCACCGTACCGCGTAACCCCACAACATGGAGGCCAATGATCCATGAGTATAATTCCAGTTCAATCGTCTAATAAAGCCCCATTTACGGTTTTGACGCCCGTATGTGGTATTGTAATGTTCACAGGGATTAACTAGTGCGCCCAATGAGGTGGCTCATTGTTAGATGCTGCGTCGAATAATAGAGTACCTGCAGCATTTACTAACTACTCTACTGATTTGAAGTGAGAAATAATTAGATTCACATGGCTGCAGCTAGCTAGTGTAGCTACTCGGGTGCTATATTGGCTCAAAATATTATATTATCTGGCCAAAATATTGTAACTAGTACTACGGAGTCGTTATCATGAAGGAATTATTTACATAAAAGGTTCATCAGCCATAAAAAATTAACAAAGGAAAATATGATTGTGGTAATTAACGAATGACAACCGCCCAACTACTGCTTATACCTCTCCTGCTTGGGTCTAAACCCAACACCATACCACTTCGTCTTCAATAGCAAAGAACTGCACACCACACTAACACTACTCAGCGCCATCGCCAGCGCCGCCCAAACCGGGTCCAATCTCACACCTCCCGCAGGATACAGCACTCCCGCCGCTATTGGGAGTGCGCAGAGGTTATAGATACAGGCCCACAAGAAGTTGAGCTTGACCCGCCGGAACACGGTTCTCGAGAGCTCGGTCAGGGTCAACAAGCTGCGCAGGTCTGAGGATACTAGGATGAATTTTGCGCTACCAATGGCTACGTCGGAGCCTGAGCCAATGGCAATACCAACATCGGCGACGGTGAGGGCGGGGGCGTCATTAATTCCGTCTCCAACCATAGCGATAATGGCACGGTGGGGCAGCCTGGAGGACCTCTTCTTACGATGGGTCATCTGATACAAGCGGGATCGTGGCCGTTTTCGAGCATTCTTCTGAAGGTGAAGAATCTTGTCTGCCTGAGGAGGGAGAATAGTGTTAGTTATGTTCGAAGAGAATATTTTGGGGATCAGTGGCAATACCTTTTCTGTTGGAAGTACTCCCGCGATAACATTTTCCGCCGGAATTCCTACCATTGTAGCAACAGCAACAGCAGTCTTTGGATTATCGCCAGAAATCATCCAGACCCCGATTCCGTTCTCCTGAAGACGTTGAATCACCTCCGGCGCTTCAGGGCGAATGGGATCAGTCGCGGAATATAGGGCCATAAGCTCGAACTTTTCATCGTATCTAATTGCAAGGAGCACAACGCTCTTGCCGGCCATTTTCCAGGAGTTCAAGTCTGGATTGTGTTGCTCTAAACCAAGAATACCATATTCCTCCATGAAACGCTCGTTGCCAATGATAGCCTCAAGGATCTCACCATTGGTGAATTTGAAGAATCCATGTAATCCTCGACCCGGAACCTCTTCTATTTCTGTTGGGTCAAGCCGAATTTGTTCCTTCAACTCGCAATGCTTAACGACAGCCCGGGCAAGTGGATGTGCCGAACCTTCTTCCAATTTTTGTGAGACAGTATAGATGAGTTTTATGGTCTCGGTGTTGCGGGTGAGTAGCTTCTCGTCTGTAACCTTTGGCTCACCGCCTTGGGTCAGAGTGCCAGTCTTGTCGAAAACAATACAATCGAGCCTGGAAGCCTCCTGGAAGGCTTCTCCACCTCCCTTCACCAAAATACCGTATTTTGCTGCTAATCCAGAGCCAACGAACAATGCGGTTGGTGCGGCAAGACCGATACCACAAGGGCATGCAATAACGAAGACAGCGATGGCAAACCCGAGAGACCAGACTGCCCATCCACCCTGATCCCGATCAAGATAGCTATCAGGGAGTCTTCCAGACATCCCCAAGCCCAACCAGGTGAGCCAGGTAACAATGGCAAGAAGGGTTACAACAGGAACGAAATAACCAGTGATTATATCCGCAACACGCTCAATTGGTGCACGACGGGTTTGGCCTTCACGGACAACCTTAACGATCTGATCCAACATGGAATCACCGCCAACGCTTTCAACACGAACGTTGACAACTTGTCCCTGGTTGATAGTTCCGATGAATACGGAGTCTCCCTCAGACTTATGTACCAGCTTTGATTCGCCTGTCAGTGAGGATTCATCAAACTGGGACTGGCCAGAGACGACAATCCCATCAGCAGGAGGTGAGGAACCGCGGACAACACTGATAACGTCTCCAACCTCGAGGAGGTCGGTATCGATTTTTCGGGTTTTCCAAGGTCTATTGTCGGGATAGTCTGTGTTGCTGGGATCCTTTTCTCCAATTGGGTTTCCAACATCATAAAGAAATGAAGAATCGACGCCCATGTCTTCATCACTAGCATGCACTACAAGCAAGGCTTCATCGGGGCGGAGATTCCCCAGTAAACTCACTGCATCAGCGGTCTTACTTTTGCTATAAGCCTCCAGAAAGCGTCCTATAAAATAAAAAGAGTAAAATTAGGACCTTTACAAAATTTATCGGTTGTGGGGGTTCGAATGGAGACTTACCCATCAATAAGAACATGGTCAACAACACTGTCGAGTCAAAATAGGTAGTGATATGATCAATTTTCATTGCAACCATATCCATCCCCTCCATCCCTGCGTGTACTGGCTCTAGTTTTGGTTTTGCTGCTGACATAGCCAATAACGCAACACTTGCAAAGTAGGAGATAGAGACACCCAACGAAATCAACAAGTTCATACTACCGAACCTATAAAACCTCCGTAGAAGGGGAACATTACTCCCTCTTCTCCATAGTGCTCTAATCTCGCGGATTGCTCTTCGGTGAAATACGTCCGCAACCCAAAACATGACTGGAGTACTTAGAATGAACAAAGCCCATTCAACCCTGGTAGCTTGGCCTGCCCACATTGGCTCCTCGATGTAAAGACGGGTCTTGTTATTTTTGGGGACCAGGGTCATGAAAACAATTCCGAGAATGAAAGTTGGGATGGCAATGATTATGCAGAGAATCAAGCGTATCAATATTCGTCTGCGTTCCCGGAGTTGGAGTCTTCGGGATCGTTCTTCCATCGTAGGTGGATGATAGACCGAAACATTAAAATTGGGCGAGGCGGAGGATATTGCTGCAACGATATGGCGTAATGTGAAGCTTGGTGCACAAGGGTAATATTTGATACGAACAATCGGAGACTCTAGAGTAAGAGGTTTTTCGACGACCAGTTCCGGGAATGTTGATTCAAGTGCATCAATGACCTTTTTAGGGCAATGCTCACAAAACATCCCATCCACTCTCAAATCTACCTCCCTCGCAACCTCAATCTCATATAAACCTGCTTCCTCGCCCTTAGATTCCAAGGATTTGAGAGCCTCTAGAGCACTCTCAAATCCAGCATCCTCAACCTCACTCACAACTTTGTCAGCGCCGGCTTTGGCGCCACCGCTGGCTTTGGCATCAAAGACAACAGTCCCGCTGCCGCCCATGAGGTTGACACTAACGGATTTGACGAATGGTAATCCTCCGAGAATTTCTGTAATGGAATTGGAGCAAGATGCACAAGTCATCCCACCAATCGATATAGTAGCTTCGTAAAGACCTTCATTCTCTGCGGGTAAACGTGTCGCTGAATTTGGGTGGGATCGTACGACTTGAGATGTTGTGAACTCAGAATCTGTAGGAGAACTTTGGGGCGACGAAGAGTCCGAGAAGCTATCTGATGAAGTGACGGTATATTCTGATTTGCCAGCTCCATGTGATTTCTTCACCTGCATCTCGGCCTCATTCCTACAAAGTTCGCAGTTTTCCAGATGCTTCACTCCTCCGTGATTTCTTTTGCCTTTGGCGTTGTTTCTGACAATGGCCTCCCTGAACCGTTCTGCAATCTCTTCCAGACCTGACTCGGGTTCTTCTTTAAATGTCATGACTCTACCATCTACTGGATCATCCTTCCCATACCCATCGGCGCCCATAACCCTGACACTATCAACCTCAAACTCTGCTTCGACGAGGACTCTTATTATCTCTTTGGGATCAAGAGAATGACTATGGGCTACTGTGACGCTATGATCTAGGATATTCGTCGAAATCCGATAGGGGGCTGGTGCCAGTCGAGAAAGAAGCTCATTGATAGTTTGACTGCAAGTCGGGCAGTGGAGGTTTGATATAAGAAGATTTGTGGTGACATGAGGTGGGACTGGAGGGGATCTTCCATAGGACTGAATCCGCAGTATTGGTGTGATACTCGTACTAGTGTTTGATATCGCAGATATCCGCTTTGGTGGTGGTGAATATGTAGATTTAGGCGTGGGGGTGTGGGACTGGATAGGCTTTCTAGGTGGTGAATGCATGGTGTTATTATAATTGAGGATTTAAAACGGGTGGAAGCTCTATTATATATAGGGAATTATATGTTCCGGTATCAAGAAATAGAGGAAGAAGGATTAAGATAAAGGCCCTGATAGATCAGAAGGTGGGGTAGAGAGAATACCGGCGGGACAGTTAGGGAATTTAACAGATATCGATACATGTAGGTATCTTGGCTTATTATATACCAGCACCAACAAAGGAAATCCGTCGAGATTCTGCTGAGCTTTAATTGCGTAAAAGCCTGATCACCGGGATAACCCACAATACACTTACGCATACACACACACATAGAGTAGGAATCCAATACACGTGCCATGGCTCAAACCCACTCATCTTTCCTATGTGAGTAGAGCGGATCGAGAAAGCTACTGGATTCACTCAAGCAGGCAAAAACTGCTCCGTCAAGTAGTATACACTGCATTCTGGAACCAACGGGCTTGCCACCTCTTCTTAGCAATTCTCGGGTAGGGAACTGTAAAAGCAACCTGTTCCTGCAGCTCCATCAGCACTATTGCGGGGTTATCGCTTGCCCATTCGTGCCCTTCTCATTCATCTTTGAGTACAAACAGGCTTGTATGGTACTAGATATCTCGGCAAAGGCACGCTAGCGAATTGTGCGTTAACTACCGCCCACCAGCAGACCCCCGCTGGCACCCTGCAACACATCCTCCTTCCTCCTGATATGCTGGTTATCGTATAATAGCGTACTGATTTGCCAAAGACGGCCGTTATCGCTATGAAAAGTGATGAGGTGAGGTGACTCTTGAGTTGTTCATCATGCCCCACCACAACCCGAAGCCGGATGGCAAATTCAACGTTCAACTCAAATGGCGAGCTGACGGCCCTCTCACCGCTTTCGTACGATGTCGTCTATTGATCAGCATAAATTACAGGGATCATTTTTTTATCTTTTTTACGCGAAAAGAACGCGCATGTCCGCTGGAAACCGAGCTACCTACGACTTGTTCTGAATTAGGTTAAATAAAAATACCTTGGCATATAAAATTCCTACTACTTTCACTTCCCACTCGAGGAAAGCAAAAGCGAACAACGTGAGGTCTACTTATTCCAATCTTCTAAATGTTTCTAAATGTTTCTAATAACTACATGTACGCTACAATTCTCCCCCGGCTGATCTTCAGTCATATATCAAATCGGAGAATTAATAAGCCGAAACTCCACACACACCTAGAGGCTAGAGTTACCAGGAGCTGTCAAACCGAAACCCAGGAATGTACCTGCACCTAGTCTTGCTAGTAGACAAGGAAAAATCGTCTAAGCTTTTCAAAATATATCTATGGTCAACATGTATATGGATTAGAAATGCACTTTGGAAATAGCCACGTTACGAAACGAATATCAGTATCCACGTACCAAACGATAAAAACTTATGACTCTTAATACATACTCCTTACTACAACACACCTAGGTGCAAAAATGCAGTCAATCATTTCCATTACTGCTAGCACTCGTACAGATACTAGTCCCAGCATACAGTCTAATTCATCTTGTGCTAAATTTTATATTTTCTAAGACTGATGAACAGTGGAGGGTCGTATGAATACCTACATATAGCTATAAGCGCTTAAAGTTGACATCGCCATAGGCTTATCCCTTGGACGGATGAAAGTTGTCAAATTCGCGACCACACTCTTTCAGCTATCACTAGCCTAATATAGCAATTGTTGGAAATTCTTGATTGGTTCTGTTGTTTCCAACCGTAAAAAGCAAGATGGTTCCCTTACTAAGTGGTGCACGGTCCAGGTCGCGAATTTGACAACTTTCATCCGTCCAAGGGATAATTAGTGATAAGGTTACACAGCACATCAACCGCCAGAAATATACGGTACTAAGTAAACATTGTTGTTTTTCGAGACACGCAGATGTTACTTTATCGTATTTATCGTTATCACATTACTGATATTATTATCATGGGGCAGAACCCCTTGAGTCCTACAGTATTGTAGTTACTCCTATCTAACTCAACTACACTCCATTAGATTGTGGTTAATAATGTCATTTCTAATCCCTGTCTGTAAATACAACGTCATACTACCTTCGCTAGAAAATCTTAATACTCCGCCTCAACTTTGGATACTAGCTTGATAGTCTGAAACATTGGTCTCCAGGAAATGTCTTCTTCGCGCCAACGCCTATAACAACCGTTTGGTACCTCGCTGGCATTTCCACCACTACATTTCACGTGTAAAAGTCGAAACGTGCCAACACGGGTACCTGGCAGCATGGAGCCAATTATTGGAATACATACCCCTACCCTATATTGCTTCCGCATTATCCGACACGTCTTTTTCCGCCAGTTGTATGCCCTCCAAGTAACCACGTCTCAATACCCCCCGCCAAGGGGTCTTCACTCTACATACTCTATGCAAGAAACAACAAGACTAGGTTTCAAAGTTCATACTTCAATGGCCCGACCAAAATATGCATTCTCCTGCATTTCAATAGTTTTTTTTTCAAAGATTTGGGGGTAACGAGGACGTACAAGCTTTTTCGTGAAACGTGCAGGAAGGTTTCCCCTACTCCCCTGCGTAGTTTGACAACAAATGAGAGAGGCATGTTAAGGAGATTGAAATAAATCTTCTGTATCAGATTGAGTCTGGGAACTCATACTCCAGAGTTGTCCTTCTTTAGAAGTATTTCCATACGAAGGCTTGTCGGTTTCAGACTTCGTATCGGCGTCGCAAGGATATACACATGACGATTACAGTTCTCTTTCTTTGTTTTTTATATTCCCAAAGTTACCAACGGTCCGCGATATCACATAATGGATTATCGGATGATAGTAGGTGACGGTTTCATCCGGTTCAGTGGGGTAAGCTCCGCCGTGATGCCCAGGTGCCAAGAGCGCCAAGATACACGAGTGATTGATTGTGATCCGTCCCACGTTTGAGAAGACTCTAGGGAGATAAATAGACAGCGCTCAAAACCGCACCGGTTGAAAATTTAGTTTTACAAGATTAACTTTGCATGGTAACATGAACATGCCTTATCATCGGCGAAATGTCAACAACCTGTTGCTGAGTATTTCTCAGCATGGCTCGGCAGAGGTGAGTACAACCTGCAATTTCGATCTCACTCACACGCATTGCATAATCGCATGAAAAATCGCAACACTTACTTTGCTTGGTACAATATTAATAACTTGGGGTACTACTCGTAATTTCATATCGTTTGTGCAAAATCCTGCATCCCTTAAACTGTCCCGGAAGAGGTTGATACAGGTCACAACGGTTCACGGCTAGATCTAGAGAGGTGCTAGTGATACCCAGAGCGGCATTAGCAACAAATCAAATCTTGATGTAGTAATACTGCTGCCCACCATGGCACCTTGAAGACAGAGGAAGGGATAAGGCTCCAGATTTTGGTGTATGCAGTCTAATGCAGACCCAGCTGTGTTCACAAACGCTATGAAATTACGAGTACCGCAGAAACTCGCCAACTTGATTATCTCCGTGCAGGGATTTCTTCATTGATGATTGGCTGAAAGGCAGAGATCAGCTTCAGATATTTCCTCTACAAGTTAGTTTTTGGTCAGATCCGCTAGCAAAGTTCGTGAGTTTTTGCGGTACTAGTAAGCCGTTGGTGCATTGTTTATAAGGCTCTCTACTCCTATTTTTCTGACGTTTGTGGATGCGACTACTCGGTCGTTAATTAAAAGGTCGGAAATTTTAGTAAGAATTTGGTTGCAACGATATCCGACCATTTAATTAACGCGCGAGCAATATTGCACAAATATAGAGTACGCCAAGCTCATGATTTTTGGTGTATGCAATACATAGTAGCACAGTTCAAAAACGTCAGTATGTCTGTTCTAGGCGCGGCGTAAGATCATCTAGAGCCCGAGGACACACCTGCTTCTAATTAAGGTCCAAATGAATATTTCTACACAAGAAACATGTAGATCAAGATCTCGATGACGCTCGAGTGTAAGGCAATGAATGTCACGAGATATTGTCACATGCATTAAAGAAATTCAGCCGAGACATTTGGTGTCAAGTACAGTCGTCTCTGGGTCAACGACGAAACCAGTTCGATGGCGAATAGGCCAATCGAAGCCAATAAAAGCCAACAAAAGCGCCCCGACTCCTTTGCTTTAACTGACTATCAGCCCAAAAAGTAGCCACTCGTCATCGAGCCGGGTTCGTCGTTGACCCAGAAACGACTGTAACCGGTTTTCCAATCCGGCATCACTTGATAACAATTAGGTAGGAGAAGAGGACTTTGAAAAGCCTAGGATACAGTTCTAGTAGGGCTTACAATTAAGGGACCCGTCTAGCTAACATGCAGCTGGAGGAATCCATTGTTTCGAATCTTTCCGTTTTCGCCAATCCAGGCGTACGAGTCGCGAGAGCTATTACTGTCAAAAGAATACTTTCTACATAAATAAATCAACCGTAACTACTACAGCCTGGGCATAAATCATCGTCATGAAACAAAACCACAGCAAAAACAGCACATTTCAAATAGCCCTTGCGCCCACCACTTTAAGATATAAATTGTTCCGTTTGCTCAAATACAAGTCAATGGTTAGGAGAATCATCTGACAGTCTTGTTGTAGCATTGCTGGTAGAGCATTTTGTTCAGTTCTTCTTAGGAAATGCGCCAGACCTCGAATTTGTGTGGGGTCTTGGCAAGATTCGGGCAAATCCTCATAACTCTCAACATATTAGATTAAGGGCCCGTTCGGTGTACATGATGTTTGGAAATCACAATAGAAACTTTAGGCCAACGATCAATTTTGAAAAATGCTATTCGCCGCCCAGCCAAATAATCCCTGCAACCATCAATTTTGACCAAAATTGATGCTTGGCCTAAAGCTTCTAATGTTACAATATAGCAAGATTACAACCGAATCTATCATAATTAAAATATCGTGATTTTGAGAATATTGTGTCATGTTCGGCAAACGTCACTTTTTACGTTAGGTGCAATGGTTACAACGGGTGTATCGTTATCGCAGTTTAAAAATTTGGGTCTGACCCAAATGTTGTAAATCGTGATGTTGGGGCTTTTAACAGTTGTGAAATGGTAACGAAAGTGGTTGCTAGAACACTACTACCACAAGATAAAATTTTCAATATCGTGATAAAGGGTCGAATATCATGATATTGCGTTGCAACCGAACGGGCCCTAAAAGGATTATAACTCGGAATATATTTGTCTCGAACCAGACCCAATCCGGCTTAGAGTAGTCGATTGCCAAGCGGAACGCCAATTTATTTATTCACACAACTTCTGGTTCGAGATAAGGAATATATGTTCTTCTATCGTATTCCTCTCTATTTTGAAAGCTCTGTGGTAATTGATAAAGAATTGAATGCTAGGGAGGTTGCCCATTGTAGCCGATTTTGGTGTGTTTTGGCGCGATGACGATGATTTATGTCCAAGAACTATACATAGTATGCTACTTAATGGTGCGCAATCATCAATAAAACTCTGGTCGTTGACCGAGTGAGAACCCATGTCTTACGGGTTTTGTTTTTGTTTAATTCATTAATTGCATATGTCTTACGGGTTTAACAACTTAGAGCGTATTATGAATTTTGACCAGCTTACTTTACAGCCGTTTTCATAAAGTTAGGCCCGGCTGAGCGTTGTAATACATAGTGTGAATCTTCAGTTGACTACCTCTCTAAATAATTCCCATAGCTTCATTAGGCAATCCGGCAGAAACTTTAAATTCAGATACCTAAACTGGTATCTCGAACTGCCTAATGATATGCTTAACTTTGCAAGATTCACACTATGTGTTGCAACGCTCAGCCGGGCATAATTTCATGAAAACGGCTGTAATCTCATATCTACTCCCCATACTCTACATTAGAGACCGCATAACCATACCCGCAGTCCGTTTTTCCAATGTCTAATTCACTACTCCACAGCCTTCACTACTCCCTCAGCGGCCAAGCCATCAATCTCGGCTCTCGACATTCCCAACCCTGTAAGAACCTCCAAAGTGTGCTGCCCTAGCCCTGGAGGGGCACTTCTAATACCCGGTCTCGCCTCGCTATACTTCACCGGAGGGCCCACAAGTTTAATATTTCCACACAACGGGTGCTCCACTTCCTGGATCATGTTTCTTGCCAACACATGAGGATGTGATAATGTCGCTTGGATATCATTGATAGCTGCGTACGGGATCCCACTCCCGTCAAAAATTTCCAACCACTCCTTCGTCGTTTTCTTCTTTGTCTCGGCCGCGATCATGGGTATCAATATACGTCGGTTGATGACACGGATATCATTCGTCGCAAAGCGCGGATCAGAGATCCAGTCGCGTTGGTTGATCTTTTTACACAGTATTGCGTAGAGCTTATCGTTCCCACCACCGAGAAGGATATTCCCATCCGCAGTGGGGAATGACTCGTATGGAACAATGCTTGGATGGGCAGTTCCATGTCTACCACTGTCCGGTTCACCAGAAATCAATGCCGAACTGGCAATATTCGCTAAAGTTGCAACTTGACAGTCGCTCAGTGCGGCATCAATCCATTGACCTCTGCCTGTGCGCCCCCTCGCAATCAAAGCGGCCATGATACTGTTTGAGCAGTATAGTCCTGTTGTAAGGTCTGTGACTGCAACGCCAACTTTAACGGGTGGGCCGTCAGGCTCGCCAGTGATGTGCATCAGACCCATCTCAGCCTCTACAATCACGTCGTAACCTGCGCGATTACTGTATGGGCCTGTCTGGCCATATCCAGTGATACTGGCGTAGATAAGACCTGGGTTGAGTTTTGAGAGGGTGGCATAGTCGAGACCATATTTAGCAAGGGTTCCGGGGAGATAGTTTTCTACAAGAACGTCGGATTTGGCAACGAGATCGTGGAGAATGCGTTGGCCAGTGGAATGTTTAAACGAAAGAGCGAGGGATTTTTTGTTGCTTGTGTGAAGGTTAGCAAAAATGAGAGGTGGTGTATCGAGTGAGAAATTGTGATTTCAAAAGTGTAAATACCGGTTTGCCTGCATTAAGGAAATAATTTGTTAATTAATGATCTAAAAGTAAGATAAGGGATACTACATACAGCTAAGAAGTATGCACTTTCGCCAGGCCCTTCTCCTGAGAGGGGCTTAGCATAAGGAGGTCCCCACGCCCTTGTATCGTCGCCACGGACGGGGTGTTCAACCTTGATGACCTCGGCCCTGATAGGTACATGGTAACCAACTTCAATTCAGCCCGATATTCCCCGTGGAAGGTGAATGTAGAGATAGGGAAGATAGACAAACCCCAGATCACCGAGAATTTGTGTACAGTACGGCTATTCCCATCAAAAACGCGAAATTAGTACATCGTATTTAACTGGATGGAATGAATTCAAAATCGATTGTGGAGTGCACTTACACCAGCAAGGACCCGGGTCAGGTCTAGCACGCGGATACCCGCGAGGGGGTGCTTGGCTGGGTCCATGTCGGACGAATACCAGCGACGAGGGAGCAGGGCTTGAGCAGGCGCGCGACAGCTGCTTCGGATGTGACATGATCGAAAGGTGGCAAGAAGTGACATGGCAACTTTCAATCGTAAATTAAGAGGCGTAACTCTATAGATCCACTACTCTTTGTTACGGACGTACCTTTTGGCACAGCCATTAAGGTGCTTAAATACATGTAGTTAAGCTTTTTCGCCAAGGACGGAGGCTCAACGAGAGGAGCCGAGGCCCGAGAACGACTATCGTTTAAACCCTAACCCACTCGGACATTCATGTGGTTTAATAGTATTTATAGGGAGTACTTAATCATAATTTACCCCGTGTGATAATTCCCTCCACTGTGTGATATACATGTGCTATATAAGCAACACAAAAAAAGACTCCCAAAACTCGTATTCCACTAGATCAAGAAAGATTGCAACAACTATAGCCCCATCAACCTCTCCGAGTACACCTATACGTGTATTGCCCAGTCATCATGCCACCATGCCCATTGAATCTCGGTTTTGAGTTTCCCGGTACATGGCAATACCCCCCTACGAACTTATCATCTGCGTAAATATTATCAGCCCCCGATCGTTCCGCTAGATTGAGCGATTGCAATATTGCCTACCAAAATTGAAGCTCAGATATCATAAAATCTTACCTCAGTTATAGTAGGGAAAACAATAAAAGTTCCCATGAGAGCAAATGCAAGAAACAGGGGAACTGAGGCATTCTGAAGGTCTCCAGGATGCTTTCTCAACCAATATATAAAGAAAGCGATTGGCCCGGCTTGAATAATAAGAAATAGTATCAAGATCCGAAAGAAAGACAGTGCTTCGCAAGCACGTAGTCCCCATCTGTATTTTTCCTGCAGATTCATCTTACCATTTGTTTTCTTCGGCAAGACATCGAGTGTCATCGAAGTAGTACCAATACATGATGGGCCTTCAAAATACTCCAACTCCTCGGTGGGAACGGGTGATACATCGACTGCCTCAGGCCGGTACTCATAATATGGATGATTGGGTGTTGGAATCTCTTCTTTGTTATAGCAGCTGACACGCATATGATCGAGACGGTAAAGTCTGAACTACATAATAAGTCAGTCAAACAAGGCGCCCTATAACATCAGGCCTCTGTGTATCATCCATACCTTAACGAATTTTATATATGAAATGGTGTAAAGACTAAACCATCTCCTCCAGCTGCGGGCTTTTAAGTATTCGGTTCTGAGACCCCGGAATATTGCTTCGTCATTGTCACTCGGCGTAATACCGAGCTCTCTAACAACCGTAACCTTTGAGCCCAAATTTATACACCACATGAGAAGCTTATCACGCACTCCTTGTCCTATTTTTAATGAGCAGATCGCTCCAGGAGAGACTGCTGTCGATGATGGTGTGGTATCCCCTAAGGTCCCGTTGGTCACTGCATTGGAGTTGACTGGGTTAGCTATAGGTTGTGCTGGAGCTAGGGCCGTTGATGCCGGTGGTGACCTATTGTTGGAAGATGAGGAAGAGCCGCTATGAGACCTAAGCCACTGATACATATGATACTGATACATGCGTTCTTTTGGAATGATACTAGGTATCCTTCTGCCACAACGCTGTAACCCTTTCTTTAGCTATGTTGACAGAGAACCGCAAAAAATATCTACCTACACATTTCCATCGCACATACACATACCCCTGTGACACAGAGTGTCTTCGAGGGCTCAGTGGCCACTAATTTATCGGTTCTCGAATGAAATCCTCTACCAATCCTTTAATCTCATTAGAAAAATCCCACCGACGGGCAATTTCGAAGCTGATATGCGTCTTCCCGTCCGAAAATCTTGCCGCCCATAGATATTCACCATCTATCATTGGCACAGGCGATGCGACAGGGTCCTGGAGAAGCTTCGATTCTTCAGTAAGTTGAGGAGATCCACATCTCGGGCTGGAGATTCGCGGTGTTGGATTTTGAATCCTGATAACTGGTTCTGAAGACACAATCGCTTTTCTTTCAATAGCATCACCGGATTCTAACGGGCTATTCTCTGTAGCCGATTTCTGCATCTCCTCGTCTATTAAGAACATAGTAAACGAACTTAAACTCTCGTCTTGAATACCAATATCTTTACTATGTTGGTGTATCGGTGCACCTAGAGAAGCTTGGTCATCATCTCCTTCATTCATATGTTCTAGAACTACTTGTTTATTTTCGGATTCTATATTTACCAAGACTTCGGTGGTTCCTCCTTCTTGGTGTACGTTTTTTCCTTTAATTGCCTTGTTCATTTTAGTCTCTAAACATATCCCTCTTAGAACCCAAGGTATGATAACTTACATGCTTATCCTTGTGTCGAGTCGGTAGAAACCTTTCAACCACGGCATTTTTAAAAATTTCGAGTATCTCATCAGATTTCAAAAATTTAAGTACTCCTTGAACTAGCTCATCATATCCTGCTACATCCAAGATTTCTTCCTCATCATCATCGCTAGGTTCAGAGGATTCACCAGAGCCGTCGCGATCTGGTAGCTTTCCGAGTTTCATGGGCCCATCAAGCAACTCTTGAATCGAACCTGAACGCTCCAAAAACACCCCGATTCTCCCAGCAATATTATTCAATGTAACTCGATTCCCTATGCCCCGTAGAACTGATACTTGCTGCAGAGATAATAATTGTTTCGTAGATGGTGACTTCTTAACATTCTTCGAAAACCTTCTCAGGGACCAAATCAATCGTCGATTAAATTTAGCCCGACTCATCCCTTTGAATGCATTTTTTATAGTCGTAGATACCTCAATCATACCAGACAGAGCACTAGCAATATCGCTTTCTATCTGTTCCAGATTTTGTGGTGCACGCGGGATTAGAGATGGTTCTGAGGTATTAGAAGATGCCCCAACTGGGGGGCTGGGGTCTGTAATACAAATATAATTGGAGTCCGTATCTGAACCGGAAACAAAAGGTCCATTTGATTTATTTAAGGTTTTCCGGTTCACCTGCGATTGCTCTTGACTAATAGGTTCCGAATCAATGGAGTTTTCCCAAGTGTCGACACAGTCCTCCAATGCTCCCTCACCGAGCTTTTCCTGTTCATTGAGGATAGAGTCCAGTATTCTCGGCGTATCGATGGTTGTGGGGCCTTCGTTGAGCTTTCCCTGTTCTTTGAGGATAGAGCACAGTATGCTCAGTATCTTGATGGTGCTGCGGCGCCCTACCACGGAGGTCTTCTCGGATGCACGGAGCGCTCTCTGGTACATTTCTAGGGCTTCATCGAGCTCTCTCTGTCTTTTAAACATAGAGCCCAGCCTGCTCAGTACCCTGATGGTGGTGGGGTGTTCTAATCCCAGCACCTGCTCATATGCATGGATCACTCTCTGGGATATTTTTAGGGCTTCGTCGAGCTTTCCCTCTCTTATAAGCAGAGGGCACAAGTGGAGATAGTTTTCGATAGTGGCAGAGCCGCCGTCGACTGGTCCAAACACCTCTGTTAAAGCTGCCTTTACCCACGTTCCGTGGCTGGATAAGGAGTCGTGGGAGAAGTCGTGGGAGGAGTCGTGGGAGGAGTCGTCGGAGCCGTCGTCGGAGTCATCGGCTGGTCCAAACGCCTCCGTTAAAGCTGTCTTTGCCCTGTTTCCGGGGCCAAATTTGTCACTTCGGGATCGCGGCCGCGGCTGCGACACTTTGATTAAGTCCATGTCTAAGTTAATCACAATAAGGAGTGAGTAAGATGCCCATAGACAGATCAAAATTGGCTGGAAACGACCTACTGACGCACAGTTAACCTCACAAACTTGAACTCAACAGAGGATGGGTGCTTGAAGGTTGGGTTGCCATCTTTTTGATAGCTTAACTGTGGGTTTCTAACCAATTAGAAGCCGGTGTGATCCCCCCCCCCCCCCCTGTTTATTGGATTTACTAGATACAGCTGTATACAGTATGGCTATGATGGTACATATGTTACCTGTAAATAAATTTCCGGCGTGGGAAAGAAGTTCTAGTCTTATTTTACTTATAGGATGTATGATACAGCTACATGTATAGTACATACATACATGTAGTATCTCATGATCAAGTATATATACATGCACTGTATACATAGGTACGTATATGCATGTACATGTGCTTAGTGACTGTTTGCCAAACACCGGGAAGCATTTGTCAATAGCCAATATATACCCTGAACGAAGTGAAGGGTTATTGGGGTAGGAGCTCTCTGTTTGGCTACTCCATGTGGCCAGAAACCCTAACCCAAAATAACAATTCAATATTCTCAATATCATAATCAGATCAGTGACATGAGATCCCTCCTTGCGAGTCTTTGACTGCGAGCTAGGATACTTCATGATACGATAGGGTCAGAGTCTGGGCGTCATGCCGAGTATTAGCCAACATGTAGCAGGACGGAACGTTCGAACGACAATATTTTCACGGGCTGGACTAGTGGGCCGGCCTCTTTGTTCCATGTCCCGGGTTTTCTACTGATTTAATGAGTCTGTTTGTTAGGTATAATGCCTTTTAAGTGCCCATATACCTCCACTCGATGGCCCTATATTTATACTTAGCTAGAACTGGTCAAAACCACCCTCTGTGCTAGTTAGCTGCTTATATATTGGTCAATGAGATATATATGTACTAACTCATGATTGAGATCGACGGAGGCGCTGTAGTAAATAACATGCAGACATCAGCGAAAACTAGCTAATAATCAAAGATCTTCAAAAAATTATCAAACATCATATCGAAATGGAGTACTGGAATATAACCATACGAATTGAAATCCCTATCCATCTTTCCTGGAAGTCTAGAATTTGAAGCTAAATCCTAATTAGTCACAATGACTACCAGAAATCCAGGACGTATGAAATAAAGCTTGGGAGGCGGAAGCCGGACAGGATTTTAATAGATCAACCCCGATAATTGCGTACTCCTGGCCTGTTACTCTGCATTACATGACATGACACCTGGATGGTATATAAATATATGTATGTGTGATATGTATGTACATATGTATATACATGTATGTACAGTACGAAAGGACGGGGTGAAATCAGTGCTGTATGACTACGGAATTCAGTGAATAATACGGAATTAAACCGGCATTACAAAAAGAATACCGTAGCAATTCCGTATTCTTACTGCATTACTAGCGCAACGGGAATAACGTAGCGAATCCATACCCTTTTTTGGTATTGTACATGTAGTTACTAAGGGTTAGCTGGGTTATCTGGGATTAGGGTTAGCTGGGGTTGGCTAGGGTTATCATAAACCCTTTGTTGTATATATACTACATGTACATCTTGTGGTGATATATATCGCTACATGTACCTCTCGATCCCGTCAAACCAGCTGCCTCCGTATATGTAAATTGTATATCCGGATCACAGAAACGAAGATTCGGCGTGTACAAGAAACTCATGAAGTTTGGTGCTCATGCTCCCCATACGACTAGATAGTGCATCTGAGAGATCTAGATTTGATGATAAATTAATAGCGGCCAGTGGACAATAATCGAGGTACAATGTCGGCTAGTCAGTTAACCTACCATATCATAAGTAAATGGTTTCAGTTGTCATAACCGGTCAAAATTAGAGTATCAAAAAGATGGGTTTATCTTTTTGTAGACATCGAGTGATCATGAGGCCCAATAATACCGTAAGTAAAAAGGTTGTTAGTTTTTACCAAGCTACCTGCAATCAGTACAGTCTACGTGCATAAATAGTAAATAACGGGATGATACACCTAGCCGGCCGGCCTCCGTACATCCTATAAACAATCATTTCCTAGGAACGGATTACTTCACTGCCTTCCTTTCCAAAAAGAAATCCAATAACATTGCTATATAACAGTCCATTAACGAATAATTAAGAGCCACCAGCTAGAGCTAGGAACATAAGGACGGTACTCGCCAAACCCAAAAGCTAAAGACAAACGCCGGTTCTAACAGTTGAAAAGGGGAAACAATAAAAATTACACTCCAAAGGTTTTCCCCTTCTTTGCATGTTTTCCTCATCCAGTTCCATCACTACCATCAGTCATCTCCGTCCCAACTGCCCACCCTTGTACCCGGCTCCTGATAAATAAAGACATTATCTCTTCCCATCGTTCATGATGAGAAGGGTGATACTCATATTAACCCAAAGGAAAGTAAATAAAAAAATGAAAATAAACAGTTTTTTATCGCTGTTTTGGTCAGATTTCCAGTATTCCGTTCCACATATCTATCCTAACACCAGTCAAATCTCCATCACCAACATTGATGGACTCTACAGAGCTAGAGTAATCGTCCAAAACGACATCAAGCATGGCTGTTGTTTCGTCCATCTTGGCTGCTGATGCCGTCATGTCTTTCAGGCTAATTGTTCACAACCTATTAGTAGTGAACTTTTTATTGGGAGGTGGGACATACTCGGTTAATGTAAGTTCACCCTTGAAAAATACAAATAGCTCTGCCCGTTCTACTCCAACCATATGAATACAAAGCTGTCTGAACCTTTTACTCGAACATATCAAGTTTCTGATGTACTGCCGATTGTCGGTATCTAATATTCTTTTACATATGGGAATCTAATAAAAAAGACAAGTAAATCAGCCCCGAAACCTCAGAAAGATCGTCTTGTCCCATCACATCCCGCCCATAGTGTCATAGAAGGAAGTCAATTTACCCACCAGCTTATCATACCCTCTCTGTAATCTCCCTTGGTCATTCGCACCCTCACCCCGCCGCTTCTCATCATCGCAAAACGAGTTAAGTATTTCGGCCATTTTATAAAAGAACCATACTTGTGCAAGCCTCCTTGTCGCCTCATCTCCCTCCGTCGATGAGATACTAAGCCAATTCATATATCCATCAATGTTCATCTGCCGGCGAAGTACCAGGCCTAAGGAGTTGTCGCCGCCTTTATTCATATCGCGCAGGTTCGGATGCAGTGCGCGAATAATAAAATAACGCAACTTCTCAATGGCAATCTGAAGCGTAGCATCATTGGGCTGCGGGACCGTGTGATCCTTCAGTGAAAGCATTTTAGCGTCTAAACGTTTCCGAGCTGTAGTACTCCAAGTCGAAGGAGTTGTAGATGGTGTTGGAGGCTGTTCATTCATGTGTTGATTAGGGTTAAGGTTGATAATTCCATTGTTGCCGTTATTGGGGTTGTTGTTGCCATTACGAAGTGGTGTTGAAACAGCAGTCTTCGGCTTGCGTTTCGGTTTTGGATGGATTATAGGTGGACCAGGGACCGCAAGTGGAGCCGGTATGGGGAACGGCGGCATGATCGGAGGATCATTGTTTTCCGTAGCTGGTGTAGGGGGTGCGTTTTGGCATGTCTATTGGGAGTGGCAAACACAGTGTTATTAGCAAACCCGCTCGCGATCACTGTGTTTTCCTCCGTCCAGCCCCCCACCGGGTCCCCTGAATTAACAAGCAAACAAACGAAACTTCACAAGCAATTCATTCTCTTCAAGATACATGTAATGGTAAAAAAAACACTTACTTGAATAACACTCACACCAACACCGATACCACTCGACTGAGGCGGTGGAACTGGACCGTGCATAGGGAGCTGCTGCTGCTGCATTGGTCCGGCCCATAGTTTAGCAGCATGTCTTTTCCAGTGCTCGATGACGCGAGTAAAGTCGTCGGGACTCAACGACTGGACTTGGTCGATACTGGCCAGAACGCCATCGACAGAGGAGGCCATTTAGGGGGGGGGGGAGAAGAAGACAACGGTGAGAGGGGCGAGCTAGAGGGAGAGGGGAGATCCAGAGCAGACTAGCGAAACGTGGGACCTCCTCCAAAGTAAAGTAGGGTAGCGTGGATGCTAAAAAGTATAGTTGTTGCAAGATATCAAAACCAGAAAAAGTGAATAACAAATCAGACCACACTAACCCCCCTCTCCTAGAGAGATATGAGCCTTCTTGTTATTCTTCTTTCTTCGTGAACAGGAACAGGAACTGGGGGGTGTGGGGAGGGAGAGAGAGGGAACGGGAAATAAAAATAAAAAAATAAAAAGGGCCGGCAGGAAATGTGATGAACGAGTTTGGACGTGGAATTAAGCTTCAGAGCCGCAACGAAGCTACTTGAAGTAGGCACCAAGCTAGGAAGTCAAAGTCCTAGGAAGTCCAGGTAAGGCAAGTAAGCAAGAGTAGGTCCACCTCCAAATTACCTCCTCCCTCAGCTCCCAACTCTCGTCGTCAAAGTCCACTCCAGCCAGCTAATAATCGGGAAGAGCCGACCCTCCCGTTTCCGTCCGTTCCCGCGCTGCCGGGTTTCGCGCTAATCAAGGGGCTGCGAAAGAAAGGCGCGTAGAGTCCTTATTCTTAGTGGAAGTCCTCCTCGTCTCTCTCTCTGAATTCAAGCTTAAGTCGTAATATCGCTGGGGCGTTGTGTGGTTAATGATAGAAACAGTGGGGAAAAGTCAAATACTGTAGGTTTAGTAGAGCACGTCTAGTTGGTGAATGAACTCATACTTGCCCAAGTTGCTTGTGTTTAGCAAACCCCTTCACCTAAATATTATGCATATGTAGAGAGGTACATGTTCTCCTTTCCTCCTAGCAAAACAAGCTCTGAGGTGTGTGTAACGAAACTTGTTTCATGTTTACACAAACCCGCCTCAGCTGGACGCGACAACGGTTCCGCGTCGACTCCGTAACCGGACGTCTTAGGCAGTTTATGCAAAAGTAATAGTCCTCAACAAGGCAACATCCAGGTGCTCATCTGGACCGCAACGCTCAAGCTCTCTATTGGACATCACGATCCAGTAATATTATGGCAAGCAATGAGTTTCCTCTTGTGGAAATGTTATCAGTTGCGACGCACGATTCCGAAATTTGTTTGCGATTTCGCGCACTTCTCCTGATAGTCAAAACTTCAATCTCTGGACGGATAGATCATGGAACTGGCTGAGAAGATAAGCTACATGTTTTAATTTATATTGAGATCGAACTAATGTTTGCAAAACCATTGGCAGAGTGAAATAAAATGAATGGAATCGAATCCTTCTACCTCATGCTCAAAGGCACCAAATAGGCCTAGGTGGATGAAAGCTACAACCAACACGTCAGATCTTAATTGCAATCTTCATTGTAAGTTTGTGTAACCCAGAATAATGAGAACCATGAAGAAACCCCTACATAACAGATCTAGAGCCTAACTCTAGAGTAGAATGTATTGCATGCCCCCCTTCCCGGCGGTTATTTACCTGATTTACAAATCCCCATAACCTTATGCTTGGATACATTGCCTTAACTCTCGCGCATGACGTCAATTGGTTCGCCAATGATCAACCTCTTCCAAGCGCTATTTCTGGAACATAACTAGAGCCGTGACATATAACGTCTGCATACTCTACCCCTAGCATCAACAGCCCCGAATTAAGAATCACATGCATTGTTCTCAGTTCACCATAGTAAACAAAGTCTTCTTATCTCATTGGCTATTGACGATAGTTTACGCGCGAGTATCATTAAAATGATCATACGAGGCTTTTATTTTTGTTTTACATTCAAAGCCCTTGTAGGTATCTTACCAAAGACTCGGTCTCCTATTTAAGGTTGCACTTGCGGGAATCCAAGCCGCCTCAGAGCCACCGGAGATGATACCCAGGGAAGGATCAGAACCCAGATTTCCAGATCTGGAGCGGCTGGTCAGGCAGGGGAAAAAAGGAGAAAGAAGCCCAATGATCTTCTAGAAGGTTCAAACCCACCTTCCGTAAACTCACTAGTTATCAGGCACATATCTTTATAGTCATAGGCGGTCCTATTAGGGTTTAGAACCCGCAGATCTACCAAGCATGTAAATAAGCTCACAGGGATTGGTCGCCTAGCTCTTCCTACCGAACAAGCTGTCTTGGGCCTTGAAAGTCAACCTCTTAGAAGCTTAAGCTTAAGGGGGCACGTCTTTATCCACCCCCGAGCTGCACTTCCTTATAGGTGTACGTTTCCGTAGGTTAGGAATATATAGGAAGCTAGGCCATTATGGAATATATCGACATTGGAGTGTAATCTATACATACATGGACTTTGAGAGATTCTCTTCATATGTGCGTAAGCAAAGCTAGGGTCATCCTACAAGGCTGAATACATATGTGCTGGAAGTGACCAATACCGAGTGATTTTCTATGATCGGTATCTACGCTTTAAAAGAGGAACCTAGCCCTACGTTTGCGGACACCGAGTAGGAAGAGAAATTTTGGAACGTAATTTGACTTAATTATGTTTGTATAAATTGACCCATGGCCAGTGGGAAGCCCTTTTGCGAAAGGTGATACCTGCATGAACATATAAGCCCACGCCAGTATAGCAAATGTAGCTGATATATCGCAATTATCAATCGCCATTAATTTCTCTTACAGTTGGCAATAATTATAAGCGGTAAGCTATATAAGTACGAAAGAATGGAGTGATAACACTGCCATAGTACTACGGAATCTGTAAAGAACCTGTAATTAAACTGATATTTTCAGAAGAATACTTTATTACTATACTGTGTTACTAGTAGCGCATTATATTAACATGAATACAGCACACAATCATACCCTCTTTTGTTACTGTAGTTCCCACCATATCAAAAAGAGCTTTCGAAGCCTAGGAATCCACTGACCAGATCAAGCATTGTCAAGAAAAACGGCGGTTGGGTATTTTCTCATTGGCTTCATACTGTTCCAATAATTTACTTGCTGTCCTAAATCCCATACCCTAGCTTATAACAGCTAGGCGCTAGTATTATTTCAATGCGTTGAATCCCAGTGGTGCTACTGACCCATTGGAACCCACGGTTTGTAGCACTTATATGTGCCTTCGGAACCCAGTTTGGTAACATTTGATACTGGGACATGATACTAGTAGTAATTTACCCATACCAAGCTTACGCCTTTAAAGCTTTGGAATTCTGGTGCGATACTACATCTACATGTAGTTTCACAAAATATGGGTGATTACACGTACATCAATATTATGCATAATCCAATCAAAACGGTCCATTTACCTGATGAATAGAGAGTTTAAGTATATATTATAGTCTCGATACGGCCGGCACCTTGATATATCTGGAGAAAGCTGTGACAAAAGCCTGGGGATAGCACATATAGGTTGATTATGAACTGCATATAGTGTAATGATTGTATATGATATATGTATATGTCTAAATTAACCCACATATAGAGTATATCATACCCCAGAGTATTTACCTACATAATAAATGCCTGTAAGATGGAATCTCACTCGTCTGCGATTGTCGCTACATGTAGCTACACTAGTACTAGTCTCTTCAATGGACTCAAAAGAGTGATCATGATGAAAGGAATATATCATGATTACACACAAATAAATTGTCAGAGTATGATCTGCAGTGTCACCTTGGTTGCCCCTTCCAGGTTCCGAAAGTGAGCATGAGGTGAGCTATCACATCGTACCTGCGCGTGTGGGCGGGTATGCGAGTGTTTTTATCGGGTGCATGCGAGAGAAGTGGAAGCAATAGAGCGTTTTAGCTGTGCCAGTTGAACAGAAAGTCGGACAGGTTGGACAGAAATTCTAACTATTTTAGGCAAGGATTCAGCCAATATGAGGTGCAGGACTTTCTGTCCAAGTGCTCGACTTTCTGTTCAACTGGCGCAGCTAAAACGCTCTAATTGAAACTTGAGAAAAAGAAAACGATTGATCCGTGGTGGAGATTACTTTTAACAAATTTATCGAAATGTTTCTGTCAGAATACCCTTTTGTAGATGATGCAGGTGTAGCCCTGAGTTATGGTATGCATGTACCTCTAACTACTTGGGTACATCTACTATCCGAAATGTTGGAGGTGTATGACCGCATTTGCACGTGACCGATCTACCGGGACTCGCGTGCCTTCTCCTTCTCCTTTCCCTTCCATTCGTTTTCTTTCCTCCGGGGCTGCAGATTCTGATAGAGTATTAGTACCAGTGACCGCCCATTCGGTGCCCCTTCCGTTCCCAATCTCTCTCACCCCCAGAATACTCTCCAGAGCTTTCACACATCACCAGTCGTTTCCCATCCGCCTGCCTGCCTGCCTTGCCTGCCCGCCTGCCCACCGCCTACCTGCCTTCTGCAACCTTGCTTTCGTGTGGCTGTTGTCAAGCCTTACCTTGTACTCTGCAAGTTCTTGCTTATCTATCCAAGACCCAGGGCCGGCCATCTCGATTGAAGCGTCTACACACAAGCCAGCTCACTCTTTCTTACTTTAGAGCTCAACCCCAGTGACAACGCCAACTCAGCCTCTTTCACACCCACCACCCCGTCACCGACCTTAAACCTCGACATCCCTCCCAAGCCATACACTGAAACGCATTTAACGGAAACCTCTTCCCTCCTCTTCCGATCTCTGCACTCGCTAGCTTTCTCCACAAAAACCTCGTCAAATCCACATCCCACATCCCACATCCCACACCCCCACAAAATACATAGTTCCTGGACCGCAATCTCCCCCACAATTCCAACAACTAGAAGATAATGTCTTCAACAACATCGTCACCTTCTTCGCCTACCCCTGTTCCCACTGTTGTGACTGTCACACCTCCAACTATCCATCTCGACTCTCCTCAAAGCTCCCCTAAGATGGCAACAATGGCTTCGCCACCTTCCTCACCTGGCCCGCAACCTTCTCCAGTGTTCGCTCCCCGCCCTATGCGCATTCCCCAGCTCTTTCGCCCACGCCCACTAGTGGCGCTTGAAAGCTCTTCTG